AGTTGGGCGTGATAGCTTAGTGAGATACCATAAGACAGTTGGACATGCTAGCTCAGTGAGATACCATGAGCAATTGGACATGCCAGCTCAGTGAGATACCACGAGGAAGTTTGATATGCCAGCTCAGTGACATATCATGAGACAGTTGGACGTGCTAGCTTAGTAAGATACCATGAGGCAGTTGAACATGCCAGCTTAGTGAGATACCATGAGGCAGTGGAACATGCCAGCTTAGTGAGATACCATGAGGCAGTTGAACATGCTAGCTCAGTGACATATCATTAGACAGTTGGACGTGCTAGCTTAGTAAGAAACCATGAGGCAGTTAGACATGCTAGCTTAGTCAGAAACCATGAGGCAGTTTTGGACATGCTAGCTCAGTGAGATACCATGAGGCAGTTGGACATGCTAACTCAGTGAGATACCATGAGGCTGTTGGACATGCTATCTCAGTGAGATGCCATTAGGCAGTTGGACATGCTAGCTCAGTGACATATTATGAAACAGTTGGACATGGTAGCTTCGTGAGAAACCTTGAGGCAGTCGCACATGCTAGCTCAGTGAGATTACATGAGGCAGTTGGACATGCCATCTCAGTACGATGCCATTAGGCATTTTAACATGCTAGGTCAGTGAGATACCATGAGGCAGTTGGACATACTAGCTTAGTGAGATACCATGAGGCAGTTGAACATGCTAGCTCAGTGACATATCATTAGACAGTTGGACGTGCTAGCTTAGTAAGAAACCATGAGGCAGTTAGACATGCTAGCTTAGTCAGAAACCATGAGGCAGTTTTGGACATGCTAGCTCAGTGAGATACCATGAGGCAGTTGGACATGCTAACTCAGTGAGATACCATGAGGCTGTTGGACATGCTATCTCAGTGAGATGCCATTAGGCAGTTGGACATGCTAGCTCAGTGACATATTATGAAACAGTTGGACATGGTAGCTTCGTGAGAAACCTTGAGGCAGTCGCACATGCTAGCTCAGTGAGATTACATGAGGCAGTTGGACATGCCATCTCAGTACGATGCCATTAGGCATTTTAACATGCTAGCTCAGTGAGATACCATGAGGCAGTTGGACATACTAGCTTAGTGAGATACCATGAGACAACTGGACATGCTAGCTCAGTGAGATACCATGATACAGTTGGACATGCCAGCTCAGTGAGATACCATGAGGCAGTTGGACATGCCAGCTCAATGAGATACCATGAGGCAGTTGAACATGCTAGCTCAGTGACATACCATGAGACAGTCGAACATGCCAGCTCAGTGAGATACCGTTAGATAGTTGGACGTGCCAGCTCAGTGACATATCATGAGGCAGTTGATATGGCTGAAGGTGTTGTTTCTATTCTCTCAGTGGTACAATGTGCAGGTAGGATGTTAAATGCATGAGTCAGAGCACACTGTATTCAATCCGGCCGCCAGGGACTGAATAACGATTGTAATAGCATTTTGGTACAATCCTCCAATCGGCCAGCTGTGGGCGAGTTTTGAATTGTGTGAGAGTTGTCATCTACCAAAACTATCAAATGTTTGTAATAAATGATCATATTTCAGCATGTTATCTATATCTATATCAATGAGCATTTGTACATATTTTCATTTTTCTGTGACGCTCAGATAACTACCTTCCATCCACATGAACCACGGCAATGGTTATCCATATGAAACACGTCCTACCTTCCATCCACATGAAACATATAACATGTTATATTTGGGATTACTTTCTTAGTAAACTACAAATTCTAGTATCTTTTTGGGTTGAGCCCAATCATGGGATTCGAACCCACACCCTCAGAGTCAGGCACCTAATCACCAACACACTAAGTCAGCCGCCTAACCCGTTCAGCCACCGCGACTTCCACAAAATGGAAGTCGGACAACTGGTAGTCTAGACTGCGGACTTTGTTTACCCCTCTGAGAAGTGTAAATTGGCATTGCACCCACGGCCGAAAGGTATGAAAACACAATGCCATTTTAGAAAGTGGTCAAATGTAAGATATGCTATATTTGGGATTACACTTTCTTAGTAAACTACAAATTCTAAAATTGCATTGTGTAATTATACATGAAACACGCTCTCCATCCACATGAAATATGTCATACCTTCCATCCACATAAAACATGGCATACCTTCCTTAAACATGAAACACGGTATTCCTCCCATCCACACGAAGCACGGCAATGGTTATCCACATGCCATACCTTCCATCGACATGAAAAATGGCATTCATACCTTTCTTATACATGAAACATGGCATACCTTCCTTATACATGAAACAAGACATTCCTTCCAAAACCCTCCAAACTGTATGGCCTTTTTGCGAAGAGCTGGTATCATTATATTTGATAGTTATAAACACATGCTCTGTCATAGTATCTTATGATGCCAATCACTGGATTGTCGATGATTTACAGACCGCTGCAATACAGCTGCAATATTGCCAAGTGTGACGTCAAACATACAAACGAACAATCAAACACGTGCTCATAATATAGGCATTCTAAGATCAACTCTGCTCCAAACAGAGATTTCTTATGTTTTATGGATGGGTGAGGGTTTTGTCGCTTTTATTATATTTTCCTTAATTACTCATTCCCTTACGATTGAAAGACCGCTTCTTCCCCTCTTTATGCGTTGTGCAGCTGTCTTGTATTCATATACAGATTTCTTATCGTATCCTTTACAATCAGGAAGTACCAAATTGGGGCAAATGACCCTTTCTTCAATAGCATATCCTTTACACTGAGTAAGAACCAGAGTCGCAGTCTCCGTAATAGTGAGTGTGTGTGTGTGTATGTATATGTATCACTATATATGTTACTATGAAGAAGCTTATGTTTGAGCAATTCTTTTAATATGTTTCGGGATTTTTTTTTCACTTGACTAGAAAGTCAGACCAGACGCCACCTATGTTCACTGTTAACGTATACCATATTGGTTAAGTAACAGAATTTATATGTTTAGAATATACAATTCTACATTAACATGATGATATTTGTAGAGTGATAGAATGTTCAACTATTTAGAAAGTATTTCATTATCCAGAAGGTGACATTTGTTAAGTAACAACACGCATACGGAGAATGCAACGGTGTGGCATCTATTCGTTCGTTGTAAGGTTAAAGCTTCCCACTGTCACTATACCGAATCACTGCCTCGATATACGTCTCCATACAGACGGTAAACTCTACACTTGCATAACATAAGAAATGATCATTGGATTAGACCATAACTAATACATTATACAAATAATAAGAACAGGTTTTCCCTTGCGTCCTTATAGACACTGTAGGAGTACCCCTTCAAGCGAACATAAAGATGGACTACCAATACATCTATGCACATAGCATTCATTAGAGCCCAAAGCTAGGTAACACAGGCTACAGCTGTGAATGTGCATACAGCTCAACACAGCTAGGTCCCGGGCATATGGCCTAACGGTAGCGCCCCACTATCACGGCTAGCTGTCCTAGTTTCAGCTGACAAAATGGCGCGAGGGGTGGATACCCGTCCTGCACAATCTGTCCACCGCCGGATCCGACCCAGTGAGTATGTATTTAGAGCGGCTGTTATGACAATTTAGTTCGGTTATCTTGTTACTTCACGAAATGTACATAAATGCATATATGCACCTGTGTACGTGGCCGTCTGTTAAACATATTTACGCTGTTGATTTTGAAGGTTGCAGGTTGCTAAGAAGGTTGTCTACCTTCCAAACTAAAGCCCTCCTTTTGAGCTCAAACCCATACATAATAACAACAATGTTTAATGAGTTTCAAAGTTTTATAAGATATACTTTAAGAAGTTCAACATTTCTTTCTGTGCTTTCATGCCGAATAATGCACCTGTCAAATGCACAATTTACCTTAAATTGAACTTGGTTTTATTGAAAATAGGTTAACTAGATAAGCCCCTATTTAACCATTGTACATGAACTCCCCTTTCTGTTATATATCCAGTTTTATTGTACCAGCTGCAGAAATTGGTTCGTACTGAATATGCATTAAGTCCATGAATATTCAATTTTGTGACGTCATGCAGTTTAACAGCCATGTTTGTTTGACCTCTGACTCGGTGATGCAAAGCTTGTATCTGAAAATATTAGTTTGACATTATAACAGAATATAACTTAAAGTATATATTTTTTCATAAACATCAATATCATTTTACAGAAAATGTCATTCACAAGAAATTTTAAGCTTTTTCATTTCTTGGTGTGCATCATTAATGTTATTTACATAAATTGTATATTGGTCACATCATAAAACGTAAAGGCAGAATCCTCGACACACGTCGTTTTCAGAACTAACTTCGATGTCCTCACGTATCCAAGTAAATGGGTGACATCTTTGAGAGGCTGGGACAGCGTAGGTACAGGTTACACACCACCAAATGTTTTCCCATAGACTTCTATAGTAACCTTATAAATTTTTTAAAAATAGACAAGCTATCAACAGCCATTCCATGTACACATGGGTACACTCTGGCCTTTAAACTACAATAAAACACAATATCAGGCCAACTTGTCTTGGCTCGTTTTGCGAGGACAGGAAGCGGAACACATCAACCCCAGTTCCGCACCAAATGTCACCTACTGGAAAATATCTGTACACACAATAAGCATAAGTCATGGTGATGAAAATGACAGCACTGAATACTTAAAATTGTGGTCAGATTTAATTGCTGGTTGGATATGCTTTTAAAAAACATAAACATCTTACACTATTTCATCCAATCACAGCTGTCACATGTCTCTATCTCTTCATTTGTTTACATACACTTCTCGCTCAGTGAGCAAGCGATTCTCATTTAGTGTAGTATAACCTGTATATCTCCTGGCAAGGGTTATCAACACTGCAAAAACAAGGTCAAGTCATGCCGGTGTTCTAGGTGATGCTGACTTGTGACGTAGGCTATCATAAGTTCATATGAAAGTTTCCATGGAACTAAAACTGATATTTGCAATTTAACACCAACTTCTTTGTATTTCATGCATTTTATTTTGAACAAAACAACATATTCATATAAATCCTTCATAAAAAACCCAGAAAATACATGATGGTATGTACAGTTTGACACAGTTTGATGCTGCCCAGTAACAACGGCAGTCACGACGAGGAAGGAATGTTGCCAGTGACGCCGACGTTTTCCTGAATTACACACTGTAACGCAGACAACAAGATAATAACACCAAGTCTTTGTCAGACATAAAGGTGTGAAAACTGGCAGTATGATGCAGAGGGCCACTTATTGTTAGGTATACTGATGAAAATGTAACATCACTCACTCACTCATTCATTCATTCATACATTTGACGATGTATGTAACGGCATTATCAATATACATCAACAAGTAGTACATGCACGTTGGTAGAAATATCATCTTATATACAAAAACACGTAAAAAATAAAGAGGAGGAACACATTTTAAGGATTTGCAACAGAAACGACGTTTCGGTGTAGATCAAGCAAGTGCAATGTACTAAGCAAGCACTTGCTTGTTAACGGATTAGCATCTGAACTGAAACGTCGCATCCATTTGCAGTACAGAAAACGTGTTCCTCTTCAACATACCAGCTTTTAATGCCGATTAAAATAGTATAACGTATCTATCTATCTTTGGCAACACTTTCAGCCAAGGGCTGCAATGAAGCCCTTAAATACTTCACATTCGGGGAATATCGAGGCAAAGTCCATGTTGTTTTTTGGTAATCATTGCCGTTGAATGTTCTTATTTGGCATGTGATGAATCGGTCGAGACAAACCACTACACCGGAAGCAATGCCATGAGGTCATCCCTATCACACATTGTAGTAACAGTTCAAGCTGTTACAGTCAATATTTGGAGGTTATATCCAGCATGATATTTCTACGTAGACAAAAGTTATTACTGATTTCCCATTTTAACTTGTAACATATGTTCCCGTGTTTATTCGTGAGATCCCTTGACTTGCCCTTGCATGTGTTTGTAACAGTAGTCACCAGTGTGGTGGTATATGTACATGGCATCTTTACTGATTGATATGCATGTAGTCCGTTCAATGCAGTCAGCCTTTCGCGATATTTTAAAATATGGTAAAAGGTTTCGTGGCTTTAATTATTTTCATAGCGGTCAGTGCGTAGTCTCTTTAGCCACAATTCACTTGACAGTGTTGCGTTCTTCGGAGGTACCAGTACCCTAGGGTTGTAGATACGCCAGGCTGACACGTCAAAATGTAATTGGGTGCACCACTCCCAAATTTCGCACAAAGGTCATGTTGTCCTAGGAGGTCCGAGGAAGAATTTCAGTGAGCACCATCGTTGACTGGAATACCTCGGTCCAGTTCATGGTCTTGCTCCTCCTGTCTGTTTTCCCTCGCGTCTAAAAAATGAAACTCGTGTAATCACTTTGGCAGTCAAGCAGATATCAGATTCTAGAAAAACTTACCACGCTATTTTTTTAAAAAAGGGTTAGAACTGCTTTACTCGTTAATGTGGCGTTGAACACCGCCGTCAGCAGTATCCTAACTCCTCTTGCCTTCACAAGCAACCAAGTCAACGAGTCCAACCACCCGTCCAGTTTAGAGATGAGGGGGACTTATTTTAATCATAGTCGGTATTGGTTGTTTTTGTACAGAATCCTGCAGAAAACTCATCCAAATGGTTTTGACGGGATGTTTATAAACACACTGCTTTTGTCAGCTCTGATAAAATTGAGGCTAAACAGCTAAAAGAAAGGAAATGCAGAAGTCATACAAATATATATTATAAATGTAATTGCAGGTTAATGTAACTGATCGAAATGATATAGTAGATACAATCTCCATGCAACTATTAATGTGAATGGGGCGGTAGGGTAGCCTAGTGGTGAAAGCTTTCGCTCGTCACGCCGTAGACCCGGGTTCGATTCCCCACATTGTGCAATGTGTGAAGCTTATTTCTTTTGTTCCCCGCAGTGATATTGCTGGAATATCGCTAAAAGCGGCATAAAACTATACTTACTCACTATTAACGGGACCATATTACCCGTACAATATTTAATGCATACGTACGTCCAGTGGACAGCATTGGTGCTGATGTGTCCAGAATTTGAGATGGAACTGTTGCAGCACGACTCCGTCGACTACGACGTAGGAGAAGTGCTCCTGCAATAATACTGATGATTATAATGCTGGCAGCCACCGACACACCAATCGTGACTCCGTCTGTCGACTTAGTGTCCTTGTTCTCGATAGGTGCAATGTCTTCAGGCTTCGGGGGCACATCGTGGGAAGATTTGTAACCTGCAACACGAAAGGCACTAATACAGGATACAAGTTCTACTTGGTATTTACAGTGACTCTGGGAAAATAGTATTTTGTTACGAATCGGATAACGAATGCTACCGCATACAGAAAAAATCACTCTTTCTAAGTGATTGATATGTGTGGAAATATTTGTGATGAAATAACGAAAAAAAAATCATTTTAGCTTTGGAATTGGATCTTGCTTGAACTTGACCCTGATGTTAACAGCATTCAATCAGCCTGACCATCCGGTCCTCGTGTAAACCGTAATTCTTATGAAACCTGTCGGCTAATCTGCCTCGAAATCAAACGGGGTTATTTTATAGTTGTAAGTTTATTTTTTGTTCTTGGATTAACCATGAAGTTCTGCTTTTTAGCTCTTCGCTTTTGGGATACGACGATATGCACCAGTCACGTCAGTGACCTAGACTAACGTTTAGTCTCTCATTATATAAACTTTAATGGAAATTTTAATTTAAATTGAAAAGGAGTCCATCTGAAAAGGAAGATTCAGATGAACCTGAGGATATCTTGCTTTATTGTAGACGGGCTTGGCGGAAGGGAACATAGTGTGGTTCGAGGACTGTGAGACAGTTCTAACCCGGATCTTCAGGGATAGAGCAGTTTGATCGCCTCATAAGAGCAGATTGGTGTACTGGGGTCACATTTCGTTTCCGTACGTTGTTGTGGTAAGCAGTGGTAGTATCACATGTATATTTTGTGTGATAATTTGAGTCTTATGCACTTAAGGATTTGGAAATAAAGGTTTAATGATTTTATAAACAAATGGATCAATGTTATCGACAGGGTAAATTCTAGAATTGCATTGGTTTAATCCAAAAGAACGGACAAATATCTGCCACAGTTGAAATATGGCATTTGGCCATATATCCAAGAGAAGGATAGAAAAAATGAACTTTCATCATTTTACAACGAATTGTATCTATACAACTCCAGGCATCCTGGTTAAACATTTAATAGTGGGACACACGGTCTTGTTGAAGGGGCTTTCACGAGTTAATTCCCTTGTTTGGCGTGCATACAGCTTGAGCGGAAAGAGGCAGCTTTTGATTGGAAGGTAGGTGGAGTTATCTAACCGCCGATTGGCTGACATCTGTAACTTGTCAGCTCTATATTTGGCAGGTTCGCGAATGTTCGTGAATGTTCTATCATTTTCTTTAGACTAGACCTGTGGTGAATCAAGGAATAACACAAATATAATTGAATAACTCCTTTCATTCTCCACTGGGGTTCATACGTCGTGTCATTTATTAACACGCGTGTTTGAGAACGCACGATGTAGGGCTCATTCAACTGGTAGCCATGTTGTGACAGACCGAAACCACGTGGACCCTCTCTTTCGTTCCGCAGCAATGAATAGACATCGAATGGGATAAAAGTTTCAATCCTCCCTACATCGAAGATGAGCAAATGCATACAGACATTATACATATTCATAATGACATACATTGTCACGTCTGTTTAAGCAAAGCACGGTGTGAGTAATGTTCGACAAATTTGACAGACAGAATTTTAAAGCACCTGGACCCCACCTAAACCCCTGGCGCGATGAATAAAAATCGAATTGGATATATACTGAAGCCTCTCTCGCGAGGGAGAGAAACTTCAACTGACTCGTCAAACGATGAACAACAGATATTTTTTTACCAACCTGGGCAATTGCTTTCACATGACGTGACCGTCCCTTGTTGTTCCATGTAGTTACATATACTAGAACACTGATCGCACTTTCCAAGGGCGTGGTCCCAATATGTCCCTGGGGGACAAATGCCCCTCCCTTCCACAAACACCACAATCAGGGCGAAACAAGCAAAGGAACTCGGAGACGTTATCGCCATCCTAAAACTTTCCAAGAGTAGCCTGTTTCGGAAGTTGAAACGGCGAATGTTGTGAACTATGACATCAAATCTGATTGGCTCACAGAGATTAACACTCTTAGGAGGTTTTAACAGACGTGTATTGACATGTCAATATACTGTTTTCCATAGTTTGTACAACTGATAGTGTTATATTTATATTGATTAGAAAATTGGATATGGTATCGGTGAAAACCGTAGCTGAACACTTACAAAAACAGTGAAAGGAAACAGATTTTGTACAGATGCGGGTTTTAAATTTTTAAATTAGGTGAACCCTACGTATGCCACCTTTGCAGGTTATAGATCAAGTGTATATATACTTTAACGTCCTGGGTCTTGTCATAGGCTAAGTGTCATCCTCAGATAAAATACAATAATCAAACAAACAAATTAACATAAAACAACCATTACTCATATTATGTATGTATAGATGATTATATACATTATTCATTAATTTTATAATATAATTGTTGGCTAAATTGTGATTTTTGCAGTGTTAATACACATCAAATAATCATGGGACAATATGAACGAATTTTGTAACAGCCACAAAGTAGAATCATGTTCCGTGTTATCTTGATGTTTAGGGACCGTTCATAATTTATGGCAAGGGGGTGTGGGGGTGTGGGGGGTTGATGATTTTTATGCAGAAGCATGTACAATGTCAATGACCCCTAAAATTTACGTACAAAGTAAGTGACCCCCTGCATGTCTTGTACAAAATCAATGACCCTCTCCCCTTCCATATTTTTTAAGCATAATATTTTAATATTTGTATGTGCAAAATTGCTGACACTCCACCCCAACCTCCCCAAGAACATGTGTACAAAATTGATGACCCCTTCCTCCCAGAACAAATTGGGTGACCCCCTCCTCTCTCCTCTCTCTCTCTCTCCATCAACTCTCTCTCTAGCCATATACACACCTAATTATGAACGGTTCCTTAGGTAAAGGTTATCCAGGTTTTAACGATTGCAGATTCAAATGTTTAAACCAATCAATGAAGTATACAAATGGTTGATACAAAACCTGAGGGTCTTCAGTGGATGCATGTGAGTAAGTCTCAACTTTCAATTGTTGCACACGATGTATACATGTTTGTATTCTAACGTACGTTACCACGGAAACAACTGTGTGACACTTGTCAGTTAACATGGGAGGATAGTCAAGAATCACATGTCGATTCCCACATTACCATAGCTTCACACAGCTGGCATCGAAAACTGCTGCTGCTCATTTTGAGGTACGATAGCCTTTTGTCCACCTGTATGTACTCTATCATAAAATGTCTATCAAAATTTATACGGATTGTAAATGAAACCGTCAAATTGTAATATATTTATTTACCTAAGTGATCACATGTTACCTAAATATTCATACTGTGAAATGTTGTTCCTGTACGAACGATGGTGGTTTGTTCGAATAAAGAATATTGAAATTGACTAAATCGTTTAAAGTAGCAAAACTGTTTGTTCTGTCGTTCTCGGTTTTATATAAATATTTGATTTAGGCACGATTCCACAACGATCCCGCACGAAAAATCCCATTCCTTGATAAATGGGGTATAACGTGGTGAACAAAGATATACCTACATATCTATCTTCCAGGGTTCAGGACAGTTTGTCAAATATGAAAACAAATGTCTTTTTAAGTATACTGAGACAACATAATGAATATATCTATATTTATTGTATGTATACTTGATTTTAACTCCATTATTAATGAGGAATATACTTGGTGGCTAAATTGTGAATTTTTCAGTAATAATGTGACAATCTGTAACAGCGACAAGATGATTTCATGCCCCGTGTTATGTTGATTTTTAGGAAAACCCGAGATAATCTTTCAAGAATAAAAATGCTTCAAATGTAACAATCATTATAACGGTGTAAATAATGTATCTTAAACGGGAAAAGGTACACCTGATATAACATGAATCAGTTTAATCACTGATCTGCTACATGTCATGTTCTTTGAGGACAGCGCATAAGCATCGATAAATCCATGACCTGCAAAAATACTGTATATAAAGATCTGCTTATCACTCTCGAGATAATACTCGAGGGGAGTTTTATGGTCTTTAGCACCTGTTACTCAAACAGAATGGCGGCTGGGTTGTTACATGAAGTGATCTGGTTTATTGTTCGTCATTTTTGGGGGGACTGACGTTGTTTGTGCTCATAACCACTGATTTAATGGACCACTGCACATTTGTTAGAGATTTTTTAAATCTTTTGAAATGTTCTATTGCAATATAACACAAGTAGTTCCTATACATACGGAAATGGCTCGCATGCATCCAAGTACATTACCATCTATGAGTTAAAACATGAGGTTACAGTGGTTAATACAAAGCCTGCTTTGAATGAGGGTCTTCCATGGTTGCATATGAATAGGACCTAACTTTCAATGTGACATCAAATTATCATACAAGATATATCTCTCTAGGTCCGTGTCTGAAAAGTTATGAAATCAAATATCTCTCCACATATCTCTTTCACCCCAAATTAGCATAGTCGACACACACCACCACCCCACATACGCACAACACATCGACGTATGTGTCATACACGGTACGGGCGGTGGGGTAGCCTAGTGGTTAAAGCGTCCACTCGTCACGCCGAAGACCCGGGTTCGATTCCCCATATGGGCACAATGTGTGAAGCCCATTTCTGGTGTTCCCCGCCGTGATATTGCTGGAATATTGCTAAAAGCGGCGTAAAACTAAAGTCAGTCAGTCAGTCATACAGGGTACCAGACACACACGGTACTTAAAGCATATGCTGTTTGACATACTATGACCGTGGATGTGCACATCCATGAACGTGTTCTACATTGTTCTTGCAGGGGTAGAGGCAGATCTCCTGCGTTTAATATGACCCACGTCATTGATTATCTGAAAGCTTTGGTTTGTTTTGGTGAAACGTTGTGTCTGTCATGCTGGAAACTTTGATCCCAGAGGAATCCAATATTGCTGCAAGTCCATGATCCCTCACTCACATGTACTCTTTGCTGAGAAACAGATTCCCTAGAGTCGAAAACACACTGTTTCATATTCTTGAATCATTTCACACCTTCAGATGAGGATGAAAGGAAGGCACACACACTGTGTACGTCATTTTTCTTCTGACAGCACGTATGCACATATCCATTTGATACAATACATTAACAACTGTGTATTGCAACCTAAGCCTGGGGGTACAGCTGTTTATCAGACAAACTTGTTATACCGTTATCATGATTATTATATCAGGATGTGTTTTACATTGGTTTAACAGTAAACTGATAAATGTTGAAATGATGAAAGTAGAGTGACAAAGTGAGATTATCGACTGGTATGGCTGGACATGCATGGTTGTATTCTTACATTAGTTCCCCCCGAAACAACCGTATGACACTTGTCAGTTGACATGGGAGGATAGTCAAGAATCACATGTCGATTACCACATTACCATAGCACCACACACCTGGCATCGAAAACAGCTGCTGTTCATTGTTAGGTACGACATTTATGCAGATTTACAGTTTGAGTCAACAAATAACTTCTACCAAGGTTCTCGTTCATAGAGCATAGCTCAAGTCAGTTCATTTAATGTTGACAAGTAATGAAATCGTTTAACATAGCAAAGCTGTTTGTTCTGTTATTCGAACTTTCATATAAATACTTGATTTAAACACGATACCACAACTATCCCACATGAAAAACATCATTCCTTGACAGATGGGACATTTGTCAATAAACGTGGTGAACAAAGATATACCTACATATGTCTATTCAGGTGTTCAAGACAATTTGTCAAATATGAAAACAAATGTCTTTTACTGTGACAACATAATGAATTATATATTTATATTTATTGTGTGTATACTTGATTATATACATTATTTATAAAGGATATACTTGTTGGCTAAATTGTTATTTTTGCAGTATTAGTACAAAATAATGTAAATAAAAATGACTATGCCATTATCACCCGAACCCTTTCTGCTGCAAACTATTTAATCTGTAAAACGTAATGATGATGATAATCTGGAAAGATTTTGTTACAGCGACAAGTCAATTTCATATTACGTGTTATCTCGATTTTTAAGATAACCCGAGATAACCTTTAAAGTATTTAAATGCTTGAAATATAACAATTGCCATAACGGTGTAGATAATCAAATGACCTGGCGTATTGTTCGTCATTTCAGTTGGGACTGGCGTTGCCCATGCCATTAACCGCTCACTTAAAGGACCACTGCTAATTGTCTAAGAGACTTTAATATTTTTTAATGTTCCATTGTAATAAATTCATATCTCCCCGGCCCCCACATATTTGAAAGAACAAATCATCTGAAAGTTACTTTAAATCCAGTTTGACTATTTTTTTAAATATGTCGGAATCGTTTCCATGGAAACCGAGAAAATAATACATCACAAAAATCTGCAAATAGCAAAAGGCACTACTTTGGCATCTGCCTCACATATCTGCCAAGTTTTACTGAAAGATATGTAGAAGTTTTCTAGTTATGCTCCGGAAACGAAACCCACCCCTCCCTTTTGGGACTAAGTCCGAATCGCTTCCATGAAATCCGGGAAAAATAAACATGCCAAAATTTTGCCAAATAGCAAAAGGCACCACTTTGGCATCTGCCTCACATATCTGCCACGTTTTGCTAAAAGATATAAAGAAGTTTTCGAGTTATGCTCCGGAAACAAAACCCACCCCTCCCTTTTGGGACTAAGTCCGAATCGTTTCCATGGAAACCGAGAAAAATAAAAATGACAAAAATCTGTTAATAGCAAAAGGCACCACTTAAGGTTCTGTTTGATATATCTACCAAGTTTTGTTGAAAAATATTGAAATGTTTTTGAGTTATGCTCTGGAAACAAAATGATTACGGACGGACGGACAGACGGACGAGGCTTCGACTATATCCCCCCGCATTACATGCTGGGGGGATAAAAATTATATTCAAGGAGATTGAAAAAACATAGAGCCAATTTCACTCCTACATATTTCATTCATTTTTTCATGGAATAATA